GACCTTCGAGCGGTATCCCCGCTCGAATAAGAGCCGACTTAGAGAGGAGACTCAGGGAGGACACAGGGAAGGACTCACGTTTTCCACCTCGTCGGACAGGTCTTCGAAGGATGCTATCGGCGCTGGTCCAAGCTTCCTCTGATGTACGCTCGGTATTCCTGACGCCATATTTTTCGATAGCTCAGCCCTCGATGATGCTGCAAAACACCCTTTATTTTAGTCTATCTGCTCGCATCCCATTTCTCCCGCTTCCGAGTTTGCCAACTTTCTCCTGAAAAATCAGTCGTCGTAATTCATCCACTCTACGATATTTCTATGCAGCGTGCACTGTTCCGCTGCTACAGATCGAACGTAGCAAATCGTGCTAAATTATTCTCAATTAGCCGATAAACACTCGGAAAGCCGATCGGCGGGGCTTAGTACCCAGTTCGAACCCCAAAGTATATCCACGTATTACGTTGTCCCAAAAGTTTCTTTAGTTTCGTAAGAAAATAACAGACGCGTAATAATTTGTCGCCTTGCAAATGCAAAACGAAACAGTTGCAAACGAAACGTATCGTACGACAGCTGGAGGACGACTGAAGATAAAGAGCACAACATTTGACAGACTAGAAATATTTCACTGGAAATATTTTATATCAGAGTAGAAACGTTTCATTGTACGAACATTTTTGCGTAAATATTGTGTATAAATATTTGCATAAACATTGCCAGATAAAGCAGCTACGTGCGATAACGAAAGATACTTTTGGGACGATCTAATGCAACATTTTCCAACAAACAACGTTACGAATGAAAATGATCCATTTTCGGTGAATAGCAAATTAACGTAGAGAAACATTGTATCTTCCTGTGCACAGGAAGTTAAATTTTGAAAAATATCGCATTTCAATCTATGCTTAATATTATTTCTTATGCGCGGGAAAAATTATTTCCTTCTTCCATGCGACGTTGTTGTTTGTTTGATTATTTTAACGTGTGTTACGTTCAGAGCAGAGATCTCGACAGTCACAGGCACCTCTGTCCGACTGTTAACACTTTACCGACAGATAGCCAATTAATCGGTTTCTTGTCGCCAACGCTTACCGACCGATAACTTATTAATCGACTTTTTGCCGCCGACAATTTTTCTCATTATTTGAGCAGTAATTTGTTATTTATTACCAAGGTATCTTGCTCAATTGCATCAGTTGCGTTACTTTGTAAGCTCCCACAGTTTTATATCAATTTGAAAAACTTACCGTTCGCGATGAACGAAAAGAATGGTATTGGATAATCTAAACCGAAATAGAGCTGGCGCCAGGGAGAATCTGCGCCTGAGATGCCGGTCGGACGTGCGTATGCCGTTGAATCGGTAGCGGTCGGTAAAGTGTTAAAATGATTCGCTCGATTATCGATCAAGTTTCTAAAGCAAACACGTGCAAGGAAGATCATCGTTCTCGCGCATTTTTGATCGTTTTTAAAAACTGATAGCGAGAGTAGTCGAGTTTTCGAGGAGGAAATTCCTCGAAATTTCCTGCCTCCGCACTACTCTCGCTTCCAGTGGTCGTTCCAAACGTTGACATTTACAAATACCAGCGAAAAGAATTGAGAATGGCAGTTCTGTATCTACGAATAGCGTGGGTTTTCGAAAATAGAAAAATCGAACGAACGACCATCGTGGAATAGAGATAGAAGCTTTGAAAGCATTGTATAATTACGACTAACAACGTGGCAAGATTAACACGTTGACTGTGGAAGCAAAGTTGCGTGGCCCAATGTTGGCACTGGAATTTCATTGTTTAAACTCGTCGATCCTCTCGACACAGTACGAAAACCATTTACGCGACACGTCAACGTGGCATCGGTTGTCACCAGCAACAACCAGCGATCAACGTGTTAATTTCGTATAACGATTCCATAAAAATCAGACATTTACCACTTACGTGCGTCAAAATAATAAAGCTCGATCAAAAACGATATTATCTTCGCTAAAATGTTCGCTAAAATTTTCGCTAAATAATCTCTTCGTAAAGGCAGTGCTTCCAAAACAGTTGTTCGGTTTTACGGATGAACAAAAAGGAGAAAGTGTGAAATAGAACGTAAAACACCAAAAAGTACGAGAATAGAAGCGTAAGATTCGCCAACAATTCACTGAGTTACGAATCAGTGGCGGATCATTGATTTTACAGAATTCTTCGATTATTATCATGCAAAGAGTATTCTGGTAAAAATGGTTTGTCACTTCTTACGCGAAAATCCGAAAAACGAAGAATGCAAAATGGCAGATCGTGCGACTAGAAACGGCAGGAACATTGTAGGGCGTAAAATTCACTGGCAATTTTCCTAGTCACGAACGTTGAGAGGGATCAGCAGCGTCGAAGAAGTTAATCAGAACCGACGTTAGAACGTTTAAGCGAAGGACGAATCGATTAACCAAAGCTCGCAGCGTGCAGGATGTGCTGACATTGAGGGCCACTTGTCATACGTCACCGGTGTTCGAGCACCGCAGCTCCAATTTTCCATCGAACGATCTCTAAATGTTTTTCAGGCGACCTTATTACCTCGTTCTCTGCGGTGTCGTGAAAGCCACGGAAAAGCGTCGTCCTTCGAATATTTTACAAGCTTTATATAGGTTTATGAGACGATAGACCAAAGTGGATCTCAGAGGGATCAGCAGCGTCGAAGAAGTTAATCAGAACCGACGTTAGAACGTTTAAGCGAAGGACGAATCGATTAACCAAAGCTCGCAGCGTGCAGGATGTGCTGACATTGAGGGCCACTTGTCATACGTCACCGGTGTTCGAGCACCGCAGCTCCAATTTTCCATCGAACGATCTCTAAATGTTTTTCAGGCGACCTTATTACCTCGTTCTCTGCGGTGTCGTGAAAGCCACGGAAAAGCGTCGTCCTTCGAATATTTTACAAGCTTTATATAGGTTTATGAGACGATAGACCAAAGTGGATCTCAGTGAATGAGAAAGAGAGAGAGAGAGAGAGAGAGAGAGAGAGACAGACAGAGAGACAGAGACAGAGAGAGAAATAGGAGACAATCAAGTCACGAAAATCGAGCAATGTGCGAACCTTGCGGAGAACCAGGTTTCCCCTTGAAACGATCAAGCGTCAACAAGTTGTCGGGCGCGAGCCGCGAAAATGTACACCAACTAGCAGCGACTACGAACAAACCAGCACTGGAATTTTCCTCGGTACGCCGGGGGCCGAGTCGAAATTTCGTGACTCGGGTTCTTAAATACCGAAAGTAATTATCGAACGTAATTTACTGGCGCGATAGCGAACTTCGATGCGTTGAAAGTAATTGGAAAAATAGGAACTGAATTATCGTAGTCAGATAAGATACGCTGATCGATGATTACGAAAGTATTAGCTCAAGTTAGATACATATTTGTGAAATATATTTTGTTTCGAGATAATTGTAGTTTCACGTTTGATGTACGAACTGAATTCCGTTTAGCGAGGCGACAACTGGATCCAACGGTTCGATTTCCACTTCTTTGCAAAGATGCTTTTGCATCGTGGCGATGTAAATAGGCACGGTGCAAGATAAACGATAAACTCGCGTTTCTTGAGATGTTTCACTCGGATTATTTCCACGAATATCCTATTTCTGGTGTTTCTTCGTTTCCGAAACTACAGCACCGCGTATTTCGAAGATAACATTCGGAACAAGATTTTCGCGAAAAGTAAAAAACTATTTCGGAGTATTGTTTCTACGTAAAGGATTATTTTCTAAGCACACAATGTTAGCGGAAAGAACAGACAAAGGTCAAATGTTGATTTTGCAATTGTTCGTTTCTCCACCTTGCGAGCGGCTTGAAAAAATAATGGAAACGTTCCGTTTCGAACTTGTACAATGTCACTCGAAGTACGTAAATTGAGTAGAAAATTAATTCACGTTATACAACATTTATCTTGGTACTTAAAAAGCTAATAATTCGATAGTAATATTTAACCTGCGAACAAATAAAAACGAAGAACCTAAAAGTAACAGATTATTCGAAGAAGATAACGAATCGTTGTTTCCGTTCAATTATCGAATATCTTTTCTAAATAATTCTACTGATACCGAATTTCGTCTGTGGGCTACCGTGTTCTCGTTTCTCCAACTTTAATTAAAACGCACGACTTCGCTGAAACGCGTTTCACCGTTGGCAACTTTGGTTTATTCGACCCTTTGTTCCACCTTTCGATAAACTTTGAATTCGAGCAGGTCGAATAGACGAGCCGAAGATATCGGTAGAAGTTAGCGAATAGTCGAAGGTATTTTAAGGCTGAAGTATGGAAATGGACAATCCAATCGAAGACGGTATGTAATTTCTTTCCTGTTCTTCCCTTTGAAATGGAATGCTAGTCCTCTCGCTGAACTTCAGCGGTTGTCTGTCAAAGGAAGGAACTTTATTCGAACTCGTGTAATTCGACGTGTTAAGAACAAGCAGGCTACTACGATAATTAATTACACTGCGAATATTTACTGCAAAGTCACATTTTTGCATTACTCGAAATTAAAGCGGCAAAAGTTAAACGAATATCCGTTTTACCCTGAAGATATTGTTAACAAGTATATTGCTTTTAATATTTTCTATATCTTTGTAATCTGCAAGTTTTAATACAAGTCAATTTTCCATAAATGCATAAACATCTGCAACCTAACGCGAGTGTAATGAGTTATCTATTCTTTTAATTAATATCTCACGTGCTTATTGATATAAGCAAAGTACCATTACGATACGTAGTACAAACGAAACAGGGGACAATGTAACAAGAAATGGGAATTTTTCGCACCTATTTATCTTACCGTGTTCTCGTTTCTCCAACTTTAATTAAAACGCACGACTTCGCTGAAACGCGTTTCACCGTTGGCAACTTTGGTTTATTCGACCCTTTGTTCCACCTTTCGATAAACTTTGAATTCGAGCAGGTCGAATAGACGAGCCGAAGATATCGGTAGAAGTTAGCGAATAGTCGAAGGTATTTTAAGGCTGAAGTATGGAAATGGACAATCCAATCGAAGACGGTATGTAATTTCTTTCCTGTTCTTCCCTTTGAAATGGAATGCTAGTCCTCTCGCTGAACTTCAGCGGTTGTCTGTCAAAGGAAGGAACTTTATTCGAACTCGTGTAATTCGACGTGTTAAGAACAAGCAGGCTACTACGATAATTAATTACACTGCGAATATTTACTGCAAAGTCACATTTTTGCA